CAGGCAGGACGCTCACTGGGAAAGGGGGTCGGGAAATGTCAAGTCCGGGACGAAGCATCCCGTGAGAAGCTGGAAGAAATATTGCATATGAGAAGGCTGGGGGGGCTGGGCGGCACCCCCCAGGCCTGATTGCATACGTTTGGGAGAATGGCAGCGGCCTCGCCCGCCCGAGGAGGGGTGTTGGTCAGAGTCCAGATGCGTCTTCCCTCGCCTGGAATTCAGTGCAGCTTTCTCAAGTTCAGAGGCCCTGAGACTGGGTCCGTCCAGTCCCGTTACTGATCAGTGGCCCAGTGAGGGCAGGCCGCCTGCCCAAGGTCACACAGCGCAGGCGTTCTGCCGCGTAACCTCCAACCCCCAAAGCTGAGGGCTCTTGGTTTTTGCTTGACACCTCCATGGTGGGGGACGGGGGGGCACTGCCCTCTCAGCCTGGGGGTCGTTTACAAGGGAACTGGGGACAGCAGAGGTATTGGGCTCCCATGTGCTGTCAGGGAGGGCACCGAGGGCAGGGCTCCAAGGAGCGGAGGTGGAGGGAGGCGGCCCTCGGAGACAGGGGAGGTGGGGAAAATGGTGGGGTCCTGGCTCTGGCTGGAAGGCCTGCCTGCCCAGACTGAGCCCCACTGTCCGGGGCACGCCACACAGCACACCAGTAACAGAACCAGGATGAACAGGCCTCCCGGCTCCCCACCTGGTCTCATGAGTAACGGGCAAAGGGTGTGGGTGGGAATGGGCAGCCCCTGCTTTCCTGAGACCCCCGTAGGGCTGGGTGGGGGGAAGCCCCTCCGCACACCTGGGTAAGTCTTGGCCTTCCGCCTCCACCCCAGGGGCCACTTAGACCGCCAGGTGGAAGCCCCACGCCCTTCCCCAAACCAAGAAGGTTTCTGGTCTGTGGAGTCCGGAGACAAGGACTTTCAGGGACGCTGGCGCAGCTCCGTATCAAGTGGGAATGCAGTTCCCCGAAAGCTCTGGAGCTAGCTGTCCTCCTGGGCGCCGGGCGTGACAGCCCGGTCCTCCGTCCTCTCTGCTCTTCTCCTCTCCCCGATGCGGGTCTGGATATTGCAAAGGAGCCGTCTGCCTCGCAGGCCATGTCTCTGCGTCTTCCTGATCGCCGGTGGAATGGCAGGTGGATGGTGCCTCCCGGATCTTTGTCCCTGAGCCCTCCCCTCCCCCACGACGTGCTCAGGCGGATGGGCGTGTGCAGATGGGTCAGCGGCCAGCGTCCTGTGGAAGCAGCAGCAGGGGCCGAGCCAGCCCCGGGGGGCCGAACAGCGGCCTCGAGTCACAGACGCCTCGAAGCAAGGGCACTGGACGTGAAGGCTTCCACGACTTTCAGCACCACAGGGCTGGCCGTCCCCTCGCGTCGTCCCAGGGGCCCCAGCTCAGAGTCCCCCAAGTGGGGCTGCCGGGAGTCGATCTCACCACCACAGGTCCCAACACCCGAACTCCGGAGAAGGGAAGCGGGGGTCCACTTCCCACATCCCGAAGGACAGGGCCTCCAGATGAAGCAGCCCCAGCCAGGAAACCAACCCCTGGAGCCCCTCACACGCAGGCGCCAGCCACGACACACCCAGTAGCCATCCATCTGCGACAGGGACCTCGTCCCACCCTGGCAGCTCGTCGCAGCTGGGGGCTCTGCCGGGGAAGTGCTCCTAACCGGAGCAGGCCCCACCCCGGGCCTCTGTGGGCGGGCCCTGTGGGCACCAGGGCTGCCCGGGCCTGCTTCTACCACCAAGCAGCCTGTCCCCAGCCCTTCTCGGGAGGGCTTCCTCTGTGCGTCTTGGAGACCCAATCTGGCTGGGGCAGCCCTTGCCGCCTGGCACCCCAGGCACCCCAGAGCCAGAGAGAGAAAACCAAGCCTCTCTCCGCCAGCAGTCCCCGGCCGACGGGTGGACGAGTGGCAGCCGCTGCTCCAGCCCCGTGTCAGGGAGCCCGATGTGCCACCTGCTGCCTTCAGAGCATCCGGGGGGTGCTGGGGCCCGGCGCCCGGGGGGCCCGGCTGCCCTGCGCCAGGGGGGACGGAACCAAGGGGTCAGCTCGGAGGGACGAGGCGGCGCGTTCCAGCAGCTTCCTAAATGTGGGCCCTGCCGCGCCCGGCCTCCAGGTGACTCTCAGCACCCGACACAGGAGGTCACTGTTTCTTTTTGGTTTTTGGTGTTTTTTTTTTTTTTTGGAAGTTTTTGCTATAGGGCACGAGTTCTCCCCAGAAAGGCAGAGATAGAGAGACAGAAAGTGAGAAATCACCCCCCCGGGGGGATGGCCACGCCACAATCCCTTCTCCTCCATTCTCCTCTCGGGATCTTGGGCACGCACGCACATACCCCCAGTGTGAGTTTAAGTCACTGGGTCTAGGACTCAAACCACGGTCAGCTATGTGGGAGTCCAGCGACATAGCCATTACACCAACTGCTGGTCCTGTTTTTGAAATTTTTTAAATACTCCATTTTCTTTATTATTATTATTATTATTATTATTATTTTAATTTGCTATAGGGTACACATGATCACCAGAGAGAGAGAAAAAGTGAGAAAGCAAGCTGCCAGGTCTAGGATTCGAACCATGGTCAGGCATGTGGGAGTGCAGAGCCTTAACCACCACACCATCTGCTGGCCCCACCCTCTCTATCCTTTGGTTATTTTTTTGTTGTTGTTTATCCGTTTCGTTCATGACAGAGCATGCGAGCACACATGGAAAGGAGGAGAGAGAGAAGCGGCCTCCACGGGGCAGGGCCCTGGTGCAACTGTCTCCCCCAGGCCTCCAGGCTTCTGGGAATGCACACATACTTGGAGTGTTTCAGCCTGGCCTGGCCTGGGACTTCAACTGCAGTGGGCATGTGGCTTCCAGCTCCCTAGTCTGAATACGTCACAGAGTCTGGGCCTCCCTCGCGGTTTAAAAATTAAAACCACTGGGAGATCAGCAGATGGCGTGATGGTTAAGGCGCTGAACACTCCTATGTGGCTGACCACGGTTTGAGTCCCAGACCTGGTGGCTTGCTTTCTCAATGTTCCTCTCTTCTGTGGCTCTCTCTGGTTAAATTAAAAGAAAATGAATGTATAAATTAAATAAATAAATCTTTTTTAAAAAAATAAATAATTATTTTTTAAAATTTTATTTATTCATTCATTTTATTTTAATTTGACCAGAGAGAGAGAGAGAGAGGGAAAGTGAGAAAGCAAGCCACTAGGCCCAGGATTCGAACCACAGTCAGCCACGTGGGAGTGTCCAGCACCTTAAACACCATGCCACCTGCTGGTCCCAATAAATAATTCTTAAAAAATAATTAAAACCACTTTGGGGTCAACAGAGTGGAGGTTAAGGTACTGGGTTTCACATGGCCAACAGCACAGTTCAAGTCCCAGATCTGGTGGCTTGAAGAACATATTGGGCATGTGCACACTCTCTCTCTCTCTCTCCAGTGAACACACATGCCCTAAAGCAAATTTAAAAAAAAATAATAATCTACTTTTAAAAAATTATTTAACTTTATTTGTTCATATATTTTCATTTTGTTTTTTTGGGGGGGAGAGGTTTTTGCTACAGGGCGTGTGCACTCGCCAGACAGACAGACAGAGACAGAGAGACAGAAAGCGAGAAATCCCCCCCAGGGGGGATGGCCACGCCACAATCCCTTCTCCTCCATTCTCCTCTCGGGATCTTGGGCACGCACACACACATGCCCGGCATGAGTTTTAAGTCACTGGGTCCGGGACGCGAACTGTGGTCAACTACATGGGAGTCCAGTGACATAGCCATTATGCTAACTGCTGGTCCCTTGTTTATATATTTCATTTGACCGGGGAGTGGGAGAGAGAGAGAGAAAGAAAGTGAGAAAGCAAGCTGCCAGTTCTGGGACTCGAACTGTGGTGGGCCATGTGGGAGTCCAATGCCCTTAACCACCATGCCATCTGCCGGCTCCATAATCTACTTTTCTTTTAAAGAGAGATTTTTGCTATAGGGTGTGCGTGCTTGCTGGAGAAACAGAGAGATGGAAATCAAGAAATTACCCCCAAGGAGGATGGCCACGCTGCAATCCCTTCTCCTCCATTCTCCTCTCGGGACTTTGGGCATGCACGCACACGCACCGGAGTGTTTCAAGCCACCGGGTCTGGGACTCGAACCACAGTTGGCCATGTGGGAGTCCAGCGCCTTAAGCACTGCACCACCTGCGGGCCCCAGATTTCCATTTTCTTCCTCTAGAATAAACTGGTCCTTTAATTCCACTTTTTCCGAGAACATTTCGAAGCTCCCCATAGCTTTCCTGTACCTCTGCCTCTAGCTTCTCCCTTTGGAACATAGAAGTACACGCGGGCAGCGCCTCCCGCCCAGAATTTCTTAAGAGCTCGGTTTCCAGTTTGTGTTTTATATCAGTTATGTCCAGCAGGGGGTGCTGCATTTCCATGCTTAACTGAGATACGTATTCCTTCCAAAATACGTGGGAGCTGGGGCCAGCAGGTGGCATAGTGGTTCAGGTGCTGGATTCCCACCTGACCGACTGCAGTTTAAGACCCAGACCTGGCAGCTTGAAGATCACACCAAGCACGTGTGTGTGTGTGCCGGAAGTGTCAGGAGGAGAGAGAAGGGATTGCTACATGGACCTCCTTGGGGGGTGATTTCTCGCTTTCTGTCTTTCTGTCTGGTGAGCGCAAGCACCCTATAGCAAAAACCTCTCGGGAACCAGCAGTTAGCGTAATGGCTATGTCGCTGGACTCCCACGTAGTTGACCGCGGTTCACATCCCGGATCCGATGGCTTAGAACTCACGCTGGGTGCGTGTGCGTGCGTGCCCAGGATCCCGAGAGGAGAATGGAGGAGAAGGGATTGCGGCGTGACCATCCCCCCTGGGGGGTGATTTCTCGCTTTCTGTCTCTATGTCTCTCTCTGTCTGTCTGGCGAGCGCACGCGCTCTATAGCGAAAACCTCTCCAAAAACAAAACAAAACAAAACAAAAAAAACTTTAAAAAGAAGCGAAAATAGAATACATGTACATTGAAAACATTATATCCATTTAGAGGAAATATCAGTGGAGTAAATTTACTACAAGTCCGGCAACACCACACACCCAGGGAACAGAAGTGGCTAGGCATGGGGAACGCTGGGCCAGGGTGGCCAGGCCAGGACACCTCCCACTTCCCAGGCTCCTTGCAGCCAGGCAGGTCACATACTGGTTCTGGCCAATAGGAACGTGGCAGGTGTAGCTTCCAGGCGAAGGCAGAAAAAGCCACCTGCGATTTTCCAGGCTTGCTTCCTCACAGGGTCTGAGGGGACCCCATGTCTCAGAGGGACCCTTAAAGACGTAGGGCTTCTGCATCAGCCCAGATAGGGCAGGGCTACCCGGGCCCACAGTGGACGCAGAGGGTAAGTGTGTGCTCAGCTGCTGAGGTTCGGGGCTGTTCTCTTACTGCGCCACAACGTACCCTGAGCTGACTGGGACAGCCTGCCCTTCTCCCCCGGGACCTCTGCCCCAGCCTTACCTGAAGGACCCTGTCGAAGGGTTGGAGGCCCCCGCGCTGGGCAGGCCCATCAGGACGCACGGTGTGGACATAGACACCCTTCTCCAGAAGGCCATCTGAGACGCTGAAGCCAAAGTCATTCCGCACCGGGTCCTTGTGCAGGGTCACCTGGGGGCGCAAGGAGGAGGCCCCTGGAGCTCCAAACTTTGCCCCAGTCTCCCACAGTGACCTGAATCCCCTGGACTGGCAGTCAATGCCTCCGGGATCCAGGCCCAGCCCCTCACGAATTGCATCTCCGAGGTCACTGTCTCAGGGCCCCCCTCCAGGTACCTCCCCCAGCTCACGGCACTCAGCATGGGGGGGGGGGTCCCACGGAAAGTGATTTCCCCTGTGGTTCCTTCTCAAGCCTCCCGCTTACCAGAGAGCTGGCTTCCAGCTCCCCACCGCGAGAGCTAGTGGGGCAGAGGGTCGTCCTCTGCGTTTAACTCACACAGTGAATGCTGTCCAGAGGGCGAGAGGCTGGCATTTCCGTAGGGACATGAATGTGTGTGATCTACATGGGCAGGTTCCAGAAACTTCCCGGAAAATGTGTTTGTTTGTTTGTTTGTTTGTTTTAAACTCCACAGGGGAGACCAGCAGATGGTGTAATGATTATGTCGCTGGACTCCCACACAGTTGACCATGGTTCGAGTCTTGGCTTAAAACTCATGTCGGGCACATGTGCATGCATGCTCAAAATCCCGAGAGGAGAACAGAGGAGAAGGAACTGGAGCATGGCCATCCCCGCTGGGGGGGGGGATAATTCCTCATTCTTGGTCTCTATGTCTCTGTCGCTCCGGTAAGCACACACACCCTATAGCAAAAACCTCTCAAAAAAAAAGCTATTCAGGGGCCAGCAGGTGGCGCGGTACTTAAGGTACTCGATTCCTACATGGTCAACCGAAGTCTGAACCCCAGACTCAGCGGCTTGAAAATCATGCCGGGCACACGTGTGTGCATGCCCAAACTCCCAAGAGGAGAAGGGATTGCAGCACGGCCATTCCTTCTGGGGGGCGATTTCTCGCTTTCCGTCTCTATCCCTCTCTGGCAAGTGTATATGCTCTATGGCAAAAAATTAAAAAAAAAAAAAGAAAGAAAGAGAAAGAAAATAGCTATCCATGGGGGGACCAGCAGATGGCGTTATGGCTACGTCACTGGACTCCCATGTAGCCAACCACTGTTTGCGTCCCGGACCCGGTGGCTTAAAACTCACGCCGGGCGTGTGTGCGTGCGTGCCCAAGATCCCGAGAGGAGAATGGAGGAGAAGGGATTGCGGCGTGACCATCCCCCCTGGGGGGCGATTTCTCACTTTCTGTCTTTCTGTCTCTCTCTGTCTGTCTGGTGAGTGCATGCACCCTATAGCCAAAACCTCTCAAAAAAAAAAAAAAAAAAAAAAAGCTATGCATGGGTTTCCAAAGTTGTTTGCACCAAAATAAATTCATATTTTAATTCCATTTTCCCACAAACTACTGGGTTGTCAGGAAAGTTAGGCATTTTTGCATAGAAACATACATCATGCCTTTCCCAACAGAATAGTTGACATCCACTCGTGTACACACACACATACGTAAATCTTCATGTGTGTGTGTGTTATAACGTAAGTGAGGGGAAGACAAGTCTTCTCCAGGAACAAGACTGATCACAGGCCAGTGTTCATCAGAGGTGTGTGTGCGTGTGCGTGTCTGTTACCCAAATGAGTTGTGGAAAACCCGACCTACACTCAAACCCCTGTTGGGGGTGGGGGCGGCCCGTCGGGGCCCACGGCAGGTCCTCGGGCAGCCCTGCTCCCAGACCCCGGCCCCGCGGTGCCCACCTTGTGCATCTTCAGCGGAGCCGGCCGCAGCAGCTCCTGTGCCTCTCCGGGGGAAGCGCGCACGTCCCGGCCCCGCTGCCAGGGCCGGCGGCCAGGCCTGCCCTCGAGGGCCACGCTCTGCACAGTGCCCGTCATGATGGATGCCTGCGGACACAGCCCCTGTCTCAGACGCCACTGCCCTCCGCGGGCAGCTGGCATGCAGCCCCCCTCTGGCGCGCCCGCCTGCGAGGTCAAAGGGCAAGCAGGGCGACGTGGGCCCGTCACCAGCCGAGCACGCCCGACCGTCTGAACGGGACCTCACTGCGAACACCGCGTCCGCACGTCACGCCATCTCGTTTACCCTCCGCGACGGAACGAGGCAGGAAAGCACCACGTGTCTCCCCTTTGCAGCCAGGAGACTGAGGCCAGGGGGGGCAGATTTGAACCCAGAGTCTGGCTTCAGGGTCAGGGCTCTTCGCTGCTCGGCTGTCTGGTCAGTTGCAAGCCTAAGTAAAGTGAAGTGAAATGGGGCCAGCAGGTGGCGTGGTGGTTTAGGGCGCTGGACTCCCACATGGCCAACTGAGGTTTGAGTCCCAGTCCTGGCAGCTTGCTTTCTCACTTTCTCTGTCTCTCTCTCTCTCTCTCTCAGTCTCGCTCTGTCCCTCTCTGGTCAAATTAAAATAAATAAATAAAGTTAAATAAAATAATTCTTTTTTTGAGAGAGAGTTTTTTTTTTAA